AACACAGGAAACTGGGTCCATCTAGTTCAGTATTTACACTGATTGGCAGCTGCTCTACAGGATTTTAGACAGGGGTCCTACCTAACCTAGCCCTACCTGGAGATAGTGGGGATTGGACCTGGGTCACAGCCTTTCCCTAAACTCCCAACCCATTGCAGATCTCTGATCTCTCTTTCCAATACCTTGCCCATCTAAGATGAGCTTTGTTGTTGTTTAGTCGTTTAGTCGTGTCCGACTCTTCGTGACCCCATGGACCAGAGCACGCCAGGCACTCCTGTCTTCCACTGCAGTTTGGTCAGACTCATATTTGTAGCTTCGAGAACACTATCCAACCATCTCATCCTCTGTCGTCCCCTTCTCCTTGTGCCCTCCATCTTTCCCAACAGGGAGTCTTCTCTTCTCATGAGGTGGCCAAAGTATTGGAGCCTCAGCTTCAGGATCTGTCGTTCCAGTGAGCACTCAGGGCTGATTTCCTTCAGAATGGATAGGTTTGATCTTCTTGCAGTCCATGGGACTCTCAAGAGTCTCCTCCAGCACCATAATTCAAAAGCATCAATTCTTCGGTGATCAGCCTTCTTTATGGTCCAGCTCTCACTTCCATACATCACTACTGGGAAAAAGATGAGCTTTAAGCCCTTGTAAATGTACATAAATGCTTGCATGCCCCAATTTCCCATTTTCTTTTTAAAAATCGCAATAAAAACCACAGATTTGTTCTAAAAGACAGATCGCCCACTAGCTATTACAGAATTCTTGATTGTCTGCATAAGCTTGGTAGTGCCACTCATGCAACACGCTGGCGATTAATACACACAGAACAATAATTATACATACTTTATCAACCTTCTGAGAAAAATATAAAACATTAAACAAAGCCACAGAGACTTGCGAACTACCCAGCCTAAAATGAACTTATAATGCCACCCCCCGTATAGCAGATTATCGTTGTCCTTTACTTCTCTACGCAGATGATGCGGTACTACTCTCTTACTCCAGAGTGGGTTTAAGGAGGGCACTAAAGATTTTTGCATCATATTGCCGTTCTAATCATCTGTCTATCAACCACACCAAGTCCAAAGTACTGATATTTTCAAGGAGTCGAAAATTATATTCATGGAAATTGGAGGGCACGAAAATCGAACAAGTACACAAATTTAAATATTTAGGAATTTATTTTCAATATAATCTAGGGTGGAAAGCGCACGTTGAATATCTTCAAAACAAGACAAAAGCCCTATCACACTCCCTCCTCCGTTTTTCTACTCTGAGGGGGCCTTATTCATCCCTGCGGCCTTGAAAGTGTATAGCATTAAAGTGATGGCCACAATGGCCTATGCTGCACCTTTATGGGCTGCTTTTGCAAACCTCTCACCTTTAGAGTCGCTTCAAAGCCAATTCTTACGCCGACTTCTAAACTACCAACATGCGTAAGTAATGCGGCTATTCGCTTAGAAATGAAGATCCCCTCAGTGGAGTTAGTTTTATGGAGGAGAGTTTTGATTTATTGGATATCCCTATGGCATAAACTACCGAACCATTATCTCATTCAATGCATGTGGCGGGATGACTTCACAAATTTGTGGTCAGGAAAAATCCATGCCAAATTGCTGTCCTATGAGATCTCGCCCACGGAATTGCTCAAACTGGATCTAAACGCGGCAAACAGGTGTATAAATCAAAGGCTGGATGATGTGGAGCTATACCAAAATTTCTTAGCTGGTGGTGGAGCCTGCTCCCCGTTAAATCTCGGCATAACCCCTATCTATCGTGCTCCGTCCTACTTAACATCGCTTATAGCCGCATCTCACCGATATGCCTTCATTAGAGCCAGGTTCAATGTTTTTCCAACAAACGTGCTGAGACATAGATTCACTAAGGGCCAAGTCCCTTCAATGTGTGCTTGTGAAATGAAAACATCTGAATCTTTACATCATGTTATGTTTATCTGCCCTATGTACAGTTCAGCTCGCGCTAGTATACTAAACTCCATAATCCAGCCTATGGCTGACAAACCAGTAGACCTACAGCTTGCCTGGGTTCTTCAAGATGCAGATCCTTATATTACTCTACAGGTTGCTAAATTCCTAACAGCCGTTCTCTCGTACAAGAGACGGAATGGAATGTTAGCTGATTATTGATAGTTATAAGAATTTTTGATATTGACATCAGATATTGATTTTAGCGTAGTGCCTAAATTTTTAACTTTAATCTTAAATTTCTGTTTTGATTTGCCAATATTTGTCCTTGTGAGCTGTGAATTGTGTTATATTACTTGTGGCTTGTACGAGACCGCTGTTTTATTTGATTTGTTTTGTGTGTTGTGCTTTATGATGGGCGTAAAGCCGAATAAACATTTTGATGATGAACTTATAATGTCTGGTTTCAATAGATTTTTCAAATGCTTAACTCAGTCTTTTAGATAAGTTCATGAAGATACCAACAAAAGGTAAGTTCGGTGTTATTCACAATACCGAGAGATGCTAGTGGAGTTGTAAGGTAAAGGTAAAGGTAAAGGTAAAGGTACCCCTGCCCGTACATGCCAGTCTCGACAGACTCTAGGGTTGTGCACCGATCTCACTCTAGAGGCCGGGAGCCAGCGCTGTCCGCAAACACTTCCGGGTCACGTGGCCAGCGTGACAAAGCTGCTCTGGCGAACTGGCACCAGAGCAGCACACAGAACGCCATTTACCTTCCCGCTATAAAGCGGTACCTATTTATCTACTTGCACTTAAGGGTGCTTTCGAACTGCTAGGTGGGCAGGAGCTGGGACCGAATGACGGGAGCTCACCCCGCCACGGGGATTCGAACTGCCGACCATGCGATCAGCAAGTCCTAGGCGCTGAGGTTTTACCCACAGCGCCACCCGTGTCCCTAGTGGAGTTGTAGATAGATGTTTAAAAAATTGTAGACAATGAAGTTGTAGACAACAGGGTGCCTGCGTTTTGCACCTGTTTCGCCCTGGCAGTCCAAGTAATCAAGAGGCTGGGTAGTTCGCAAGTCTCTGTGGCTTAGTTTAATGTTTTGTATTTTTCTCAGAAGGTTGATAAAGTATGTATAATTATTGTTCTGGGTATATTACTCGCCAACGTGTTGAATGAGTTGCACTACTTCTAACAACAGCACAAGTTGCATTTTTCTAGCATTATTGCATAAGCTTGGTGGCAAAAAAAAGCGTGAAGTTTTCAGCAAACATTTGTTTAAGATCCCTGCTGAATCTCTGTTGGAAGAGCATTCCACATTGACACGAAGGGCTTATTTTCATGTCGACTTTAAATGAACCTCACCAACTCAAGGAACAACCAGTGGTGCACCTATAGATGACCTAAGTCTAAGTGACCAAGCTGGGAAATACGTTTTGCCTGCCATTTTGGGGGGTTTTCTTCATGGAATTGGGAGAGGGCTCCGAGAGGTGGGCTGGTGGGTGACAGAGCCTGGTGCTCTTTTGGGGGGGGGGCTCAACTTTCTATTGTTTCCCCGCTAAATCAGAAGTTCCATGAGCCACTGGTGGTCTGTGACCTCTGTCCTGCTTGTTCACAGAAAGGATATGGAACAGCTGATAATATTTGTACTTGGCAATGCACTTGATTTCTTTTTAATGACTGAGGCTGTTTTGACCTGTGCTGGGTTATCAAGCAGTATAACAAGGCCCTCATTTTCAGCCTTTGAATACAGTGCTAATTTCCCCTTTTAAAATTTACCAGTTAAAGGAGGTCTTCTCAGCAGCCTGGCCTACAGCCTGTGATTTTCATAATACCATGCTGGTTTTGATTATGATGCTGGCATGCTAGAGAAAACAATGTTATTAGATTATGAGCTAGGCATGTGCTTTGACTTGTAAAAAATAAAAAAATGGGGTTAATAAGCAGCCTACTGAGACCTCCCACATTTCTCAGGTGATCCGTAATAACAAAAATGTTTGAGAACCACTGTGCTAGATTATTGTTCCTCCTACCACCACTGTGGAATAAAAGGGGCTGTGCTCAAGCTCCAAAGATCCTGCCTTTTACCGGGTCAGACTTATTTGCCCTTCTGGTTCTGGGATTGCCAGTGTGGTACCCTCAAGTGTAATGGCACCTGTCAGTGGGCTGCCATTGGAACAGGGGAGGGAGGCAGGGATGCAGTTGGGATACAGGGAGCCGCGGAAACTTCTGAGGAACAGTTCCTCGTCCAGCGGTGGGGAAAGCCACACCTCCAGTGGAGAAGAGAGGGGAGGGGCCAGCCAAGCGAAGAGGGCTTGAAGAGGCCAAGCGAGGAGAGGGCTGAGAGCCCAAGCGCCTCACCTAGCCCGGCTGGCCAGGAGGCACATATGCCACTTCCATCACCCAGCTTGCGCAGAGGGGTGAAATGCAAGGAGGGGAGGCAGAGGTTTGGGGTGTCGAAATTCTTACGTTGGGGGAGAAGCCGGAAGGGGCCACTCCCGGATTCTGTAAGTGACTAAGATGGACATGAACTTTGGAGATCTGCACTGTAAATATTTTGCACAATAAAAACCTATGAAAGACAGGTTTGGAGTCCTGCCTGGTTACTCGTGAGAGACTACCAGCAGCATCTGACAGTACCCTTGAGGACTTCCCTTAGCACCCATGAAAGCCCTGCACCCTCGTGAGAGACAAGGGTGACATTCTCTCCTCCCCTTCCCTGAAAAGGGCATAGAGTTTACGGAGGAAGTAAGAAAGAGCGTTGCTCTTCCCCACTTCCTCCTTCAGCTCTATGGGCTTTTCGAGGCTCAGATTGGCACCCACAAACACATAAAGGTGGAAAGGGATTTTCTGTGATAATGTTGGAGACAAACTAAAGTTTATGTGATGCTAGTAAGGCACCAGATCTGTGATTTTTACTGTGCAGTCCACTACTGTAAGTTTTAATTCTGATTGTCATTTGGGGGGGGGGGACCCTGTAAAGGGATGCAAATTCAAGAGGATCTGTTTTAATTCTACTCGGTCCAACTTTTACCCACACCCCATTGAAAAGCAAAGAATCTCTGTCTGCATGTGTGTGTGTGTGATGGCCTGGGATTCCGATTCGGAGGATGAAACAGAGGAATCCCGGCCTGCACAGGAGTCCCCGCCTCCAGGGCCGGCTGAACTGGGGCAAGGCCTTGATGCTGAAGAGCCTGCACCTGTGGCAGTGCATCAGGAGCTGGCCCCAGGTGAAGCCCTTCGGGCCCCAGAGGGGCTTGATGACTCAGTGGCCACAGGTGAGCCTCCTCCAGGGCCCAGTAACCCTTCGGCCTCTCCTGATCTGCAGAGGCTTAGGGCAGAGAGGCGAAGGGAACTGGTTGCCCCCAGGAGGAGTGCTCGCCTTAAGGCCAGAGGAGGCGGGGCTCCTGGGGACCGGGACCGCCCCTGGCCTTAGAAGAGGATAAAAGCCCAGTCAGCCCGGCCCCAGGTTGCGGGAGCAACGTCGTTGTTGGCTTCGGACCTTCCTGTGTTCCTGATCCCTGCTCGGCTTCCTGTTCCTGACTATCCGGTACTCCTGTTCCCTGCTCGGCCTCCTGTTCCCGACCATCCGGTGTTCCTGTTCCCTGCACAGCCTCCTGTTCCAGCATTCCTGTTCCCCGCCCGGCTCTCTGCCTCGGACCTTGCCCCTCTTCGTGTGGACTCTGCTACACCCAAGGTACCTTACCCCCGGGACCAGCACAGTTTGCTCCCGCCAAACCCGCACTCCCCCTTCGTAGGGGTGCGTTCGGGAAGAGCCAGAGGCCATGGCTGACCAGGCGGCTGCACTGGTGGCTTTGGCCCAGAAGAACCAGGCCCTGACTCACACCGTGCAGCAGCTCAGTGACGCGGTTGTGGCACTTCAACAACGCTTGGAAGCCCTACCGGCTCCTGGGGCCGACGCCTCGGCTCCTGGCAAGTACCCAGTGGCTTTGCCTGAGAAATTTGATGGAGCCCCGGCCAGCTTTCCCATGTTCCTGGCCCAGGCCAAGCTGTATATTCAGGGGCGAGCCCGGAACTTTCCTGACGACCGCACCAAGGTGCACTTTTTGATTAGTTTGTTAAAGGACCAGGCGGCCAAGTGGGCGTTGCCGCTACTCAGGCAAGACTCCCCCTTGCTGGCAGACTATACGGGGTTTTGCAATCGTTTGGAGGCCGCGTTCGGCAACCCCCAGAAAGGGAGTCAAGCCAACCGGGCGATTCGGCGTTTGAAACAGGGCAAGTCCACGGTGGCCGCATATACCACGGAGTTTCGGCTGTTGGCACAGGACTTGACCTGGAATGATTCGGCACTGCGGGACCAGTATCTCGAAGGGCTTTCGGACGAGGTACTGGACCAGTTGGCCACAATGGAACGCCCCACCACGCTAGACACTCTCATTCAACGGAGTCTACAAATAGACGACCGGTTGGAGGATCGTCGTCAGGCCCGGGGTCGCCGACACTTCCAGTTCACGGCACCAGCTTTTTCCGGCAGCCCCACGGTCACAGCTGATTTAACGGAGGAGCCTATGCAGCTCGGGGCAGTGCGGCCACGCCTTTCCCCCGCAGAGAAGGCGCGGCGTCGGGAGGGAAACCTCTGTCTTTACTGTGGCGGAAGTGGACACTTCGCTCGGTCTTGCCCTGAGAAACGCCAGCCGCAGGGAAACCGCCAACCCCAGTAGCTGATGGCCCTAGCTGCCGGGGGGTCCCAAACCGCGCAGAATGGGCCTGCATCAATGGACTCGCAACATCTTATGGTTCCGGTACGTTTATACCCTCCAGGTGGGCCCTGGATCCCCACCCATGCTTTGGTGGATTCAGGGGCAACCCGCTCTTATATGGACGCTGCTTTTGCCGCCCATCATCAGGTGCCACTCCGGAACAAGCCAGTACCGGTCCAGGTGGAAGCGATTGACGGACGACTTCTGTGTTCAGGTGCCGTTACTCAGGAGACCCAGCCCCTGGTCCTGTGTTTCCAGCAGCACCGGGAGTTGCGAACTTTGGACATTGCCTCTATGCCCCGCTTCCCCCTGGTGCTCGGGATGGACTGGCTGGAAGCCCACAACGTTCAGATTCACTGGGTCAAACGGACCGTGCACTTCCCAGACCCATGTTCCCATGCTCAATCCGGGACGCTGGCGGCCGCGCCCTCAGAGGAGGCAGCACCCACGCTCCCAGCCGTGTATCAGGACTACCAGGACGTGTTCGAGGAACGGGGGCAGACCAGCTGCCGCCGCATCGGCCTTTGACTGCGGCATAGACCTCCAACCCGGAGCGCCTCTACCAGTGAGTCGCTTATATTCTCTAACAGAGCCAGAGCGCGAGGCTTTGCAGGACTTCTTGCGCAAGAACCTGGAGCGTGGGTTCATTAGGCCGTCCACCTCGCCTACCGCGGCACCAGTGCTTTTCGTTAAGAAGAAATGTGGGAACTCCGCCCTTGCCATGATTACCGAGCCTTGAACAAAATTACCGTCCCAGACCGATACCCCTTGCCCCTTATCTCGGAGCTGCTGGAGCGGGTGCAAGGGGCACAGGTGTTCACCAAGCTGGACCTCCGGGGGGCCTACAACTTGATTCGGATCCGAGCCGGGGATGAGTGGAAGACAGCGTTTGGGACCCGGTACGGGCAGTTCGAATATTTGGTTATGCCTTTCGGGTTGTGCAACGCGCCTGCTGTGTTCCAACGCTACATCAACCACGTGTTTCAGGACTTGTTAGACAAGTACGTGGTGGTGTATTTGGATGACATACTGATTTACTCCCGTGACCCGGCTCGCCATGAGGGACATGTCCGGACCGTGCTGCAGCGCTTGCGTGAGCACCGTTTGTACGCAAAGCTCAGCAAGTGCGAGTTCCATCAGCGGACTGTGGACTTCCTTGGTCACCGGCTCTCTCCGGATGGGGTGCAAATGGACCCGGGAAGGTGACAGCGGTTCAAGAATGGGCGGCACCCCGGAACCGCAAGGACCTACAACGTTTCCTGGGGTTCGCCAATTACTACCGGACCTTCATCGCTGATTATGCTCATCGCACCACCCCGTTGACCCGGCTACTGCGCCCAAAGACGCCGTTTTCCTGGGACAAGGAGGCAGAGGAGGCGTTTCAGGGGTTGAAGGCCTGTTTCCAGAGGGCACCAATCTTACAACATCCTGACCCCTCTCGACCCTTTGTGGTGGAGACCGACGCCTCCAGTACGGCTCTCGGTGCCGTCTTGTCTCAACAGATTGGGCCCGAAGCGCCACTCTTACCCTGTGCCTTCTATTCCCGCCAGCTCCTACCAGCGGAGCGTAACTATACTGTGTGGGAGCGGGAACTACTGGCCATCAAGGTAGCCTTTGAGGTCTGGCGCCACCATCTTGAGGGGGCACGACATCCGGTGGAGGTAAGAACCGACCACCGGAACCTGGAGTACCTCCAGACCACCCGCAAGCTGAACCAAAGACAGATCCGGTGGGCGTTGTTCTTTCCCGGTTCCAGTTTCGGATCCGCTACATCCCTAGCTCTCAGAATCTGAAGGCGGATGCCCTGTCCCGGAAACCTGAAGACAACGCAGACACGGTACAGCAAGCAGAACCCGCCACGATCCTACCTCCGGCCGCATTCCTGGCCACCCAGGAGGCGCAGCCACTGCAGGTTCGGGTGCGGGAACAGCAGCGGGTCGACGCTTGGGCCCAGGAACGACTCCGGGAGCTGGCTGAAGGGTCCAGCCCACAGTATCCGGGGCTGGTCCTGCATCAGGGCCTCCTGCTGCACCACGGTCGTCTGTACATCCCGCCAGGGCCACTGCGGCTGGAGGTTCTCCGGATGGCCCATGATGCCCCGGCAGCGGGGCACTTTGGACGGTATCGGACCACCCATCTGGTCAGTCTAGAGTTTAGGTGGACCCGCCTGAAGGCTGACGTGGATCGCTACGTTGCGGGTTGTGATGTCTTCCGACGCTCCAAGGGGCCACCGGGCGACCCCCGGCCTACTTCAGCCATTGCCAGTTCCACCGCGCCCTTGGCACACAGTTTCGTTGGACTTTGTAGTGGACTTACCCTCGTCTCGTGGCTGTACCTGCCTTCTGGTTTTCTCCGACCATTTCACCAAGATGGTGCACTGCGCTCCCTGTCCATCTGTACCCACAGCCAAGGAAACTGCTCAGCTGTACCTTCAGCATGTCTTCCGCCTGCATGGTCTACCTGAGCGCGTGGTGTCCGACCGGGGCGTTCAGTTCACATCCCGGTTCTGGCGAGCATTACACCAGACCCTCGGGACAGAGGTCTGCCTCTCGTCAGCCTACCACCCACAGACCGATGGCCAGACGGAACGGGCGAACGCGGTGCTGGAGCAGTACCTCCGGTGTTACTGCAGCTACCAGCAGGATGACTGGGTCGACCACCTGGCATTGGCGGAGTTCGCCTATAACAACGCGGTGAATGCGTCCACCCAGCAGACCCCGTTCCAGGCCAGTTATGGTTATCATCCACGGCTGTTTCCAGAGGTGCTGCCGGCATCCGCGGTCCCGGCGGTGACGGAGTGGCTTCAAGAGCTCCAGTCCCAGCAACAGCTTTTGGTGGAGCAACTGCACCAGGCCAAGGAAGCGTACAAAGCCCAGGCCGACCGCCACCGCCAGGTGGGGCCGGAACTCGCGTCGGTGACCTGGTTTGGCTCTCCACTCGCCACCTCCACCCCTCTCGACCTTCGCGGAAGTTGGACGCCCGCTTCACCGGCCCGTTCCCTATCGTAGACCAAATCTCTCCTGTGGCATTCCGTCTCCGGTTACCCGCAACCCTGAAGGTTCACCCGGTCTTCCACAGGTCCCTTTTGAGTCCGGTGGCCCCACCCGACGAGTTCCACCAGAACCGTCCCCGACCGCAGCCAGTGTTGGTTCGGGGAGAGCCTGAGTACGAGGTGGAACGCATCCTGGACTCCCGATACCGCAGGGGAAAGCTGCAGTATCTCATTGACTGGAAGGGGTACGGACCGGAGGACCGTTCCTGGGAACCAGCGGCCAATGTCCATGCACCTGCCTGCCTCCGAGAGTTCCATGCGACGTATCCCGGCAAGCCGGGTCCGGACCCTCGGTTGAGGGGGGGGCCTGGGAGGGGGATGGTGTGATGGCCTGGGATTCCGATTCGGAGGATGAAACAGAGGAATCCCGGCCTGCACAGGAGTCCCCGCCTCCAGGGCCGGCTGAACTGGGGCAAGGCCTTGATGCTGAAGAGCCTGCACCTGTGGCAGTGCATCAGGAGCTGGCCCCAGGTGAAGCCCTTCGGGCCCCAGAGGGGCTTGATGACTCAGTGGCCACAGGTGAGCCTCCTCCAGGGCCCAGTAACCCTTCGGCCTCTCCTGATCTGCAGAGGCTTAGGGCAGAGAGGCGAAGGGAACTGGTTGCCCCCAGGAGGAGTGCTCGCCTTAAGGCCAGAGGAGGCGGGGCTCCTGGGGACCGGGACCGCCCCTGGCCTTAGAAGAGGATAAAAGCCCAGTCAGCCCGGCCCCAGGTTGCGGGAGCAACGTCGTTGTTGGCTTCGGACCTTCCTGTGTTCCTGATCCCTGCTCGGCTTCCTGTTCCTGACTATCCGGTACTCCTGTTCCCTGCTCGGCCTCCTGTTCCCGACCATCCGGTGTTCCTGTTCCCTGCACAGCCTCCTGTTCCAGCATTCCTGTTCCCCGCCCGGCTCTCTGCCTCGGACCTTGCCCCTCTTCGTGTGGACTCTGCTACACCCAAGGTACCTTACCCC